AAAAAAAAAAAACAAACGAAAATGAAAATAACTTTCCAAGTAATGGGAGTACTTCCTTTTCAATTTCTATTAAAAAGCAAATAAAATTTATTTGGGGTAAACTATTTAAAAACTACCTTCTCATCCATTAATGTTAAAAGACTTCCCATTTTTATCTCTAATTTATGCTTCATACCCTCAATAAACACAGAGCATTTGCATTTTTAAAAGTTTAATTGTAGGAATTTTCTATTTTTTCTTTAAAAATTTTTTGTTAGTGTAAGATAAGTCAGGAGTTTTGTATTTTTATATTCTGTCTAATCATCTTATTAAATTTCATCTTTTTCCACATTTATTATGCAAAATTCCAATCACAGACATAATTAGAACCGCATAACAAACTCTCAAGTTGTACCAGCAGCTTCAAAATTTATCAATATTTGTGAATTTGTCATCCAAAAACTCATTTTGTTTTTGTTGCTAGAGTATTTTAAAGCAGATTTTAGACTTCATATTTCACCTACAAATATTTGTATAGGGACTATATTTAGAAACAGCCACATGACAAAAAAATTAAATGTAAACTTGATCAATTGTGTAAGATTATTTTATTAAATCAACAAGTCAATCCATCTACACAAGTCATGTATTCCTAGAGACAATGCATGAAATAAATTGAACAAGAATTATATATTAATCTGTCAGATTAAGAAGAAAAGGGAAAGTGTAGGTGAATTTTCACTTCAAGTGTTTGACTTGCTGGTTTGTTTTACAGCAAAAGGTATGCTTGGCATATAATAAAATCATCCCATTTAAAGTATATACAGTTAGTTGAACTTTGCTAACATAAACTGTCATCTAACTAATCAGAACAGTGACAATTAGCACTTTTTATCACCCAAAAATATTCCCTAATTCTTGGAGTCAATTCCTATGTTCAACATTTTGTTCTATAATTTCACCTTCTCAAGAATTTAATGTAACAAGTCACACAGTATTTAGCCCTTTGCTCTTCTTTTCCTTCGCATAATGTTTTTGAGGCATGTAATATGCATAGGTTGTTCTTTCCATTTTACTGATGAACAGTATTTCATTGTATGTTATGAACTGTTTGTCCATTACCAGTTTATGAATATGAATGTCTTCAAAAACATTCATGTACAAGTGCTGGTGCAGACAAATGGCTTTCTCCTGGAGAGAAAACAAAAGGGGGAATTTTGGACTGAATGGTCAGTTTATGTTTAATTTAAGAAAGTGATAAACTGTTTGTCAAAGTGGCCGCACTGCTTTGGGTTCCAACTAGCCATGTGTGGCTATTCTGTTTGTTCCGCATCCTCATCAATACTTGGTATTGCTGATATTTTTCATTTAAGTACTCCTATAATTAGATCTTACAGTCTGATTAATTTATTTTGATTTTCTAAATATATATCATTTTCAAATAGTGATGTCTTTCTCTTACTGACTCATTTGGGGTCAAAAATTACAGACATTTGTGATGCTTTTTATCTTACCAGTAATGCTGACAATATTTTACTGATAATGTCCTATGACATTTGAAGTTAGTCATATTATCCTTTTTTTAGATTAATGAGTTTTCTTAAAGATCACAAATGCATTTTGAGTTATCATGTAATTCAGCATCAAGAAAATAAAACAATTTTTTTCTACTTTGACTTTCTAATGTAACAAATTAAATTAATACATTTCCTAATACTGAATCATCCTTATCCTTGGGAAAGAAACTCTTTAATTGGTTTGTTTTGATACACTGCTTGGGTTTCCTCTGCTACAGTATATTTGGCATACTAAGATCTACATCAACATTTTAAATGAATTTGGTCTAGAACAGCATTTCTCAAATTTTGCTGCACAGGATATGATAGAATATTTTTTGGTGGGGAATTCTAAATCTTTAATTTCTTCTATGTAAAAATAGCTATAAGATATATAAAGAGATACAAAAATAGATAAGTTAAGGAACAATTAGGAAGATTACTTCTTCAGTAAGTACATGAGCTATGATTTCAGCTCAGTCATATTATCCTTCAGACCACATCTGTTATTTAGAGATTAAAAATCTAGTTTTTAAAAAATTTCTTACAATTTAAAAAACAACAAAAATGTAAGAGCTTAATGTTTTGTTATAATTTTTAAGCCTTGAAATGATTAATTCTCCCTTCATAAAGAACTACTCAAATCTGGACAAGAAGAATTTAGCCAGCCTACCTGAGTGTGACTGATTGTTATATGGTTGCCATGGAGAGGTGACTGTCGATCTTTCTCCTTACTGTGCCGACTACTTTGTTTACTGCGTTGTAGCTGCTGCCTCAGTTTGGCAATCTGCTTTGGGGGAGGGAAGAAGAAAGAAGAGAACAAAAGTGAATACCATTTTTAAAAGATTTTGCCTTCAGTTTCTGAATATTAATGCATGACTTTTTCTCAAACGTTTTAAGAACAGATAGCATTTCACCACGATGATTTATTTTTTCAAACTTTTAAGATTAAGCCCATTGAAAATAAAAATAAACAGGTGTTAAAAATGTTCCATTTCTATAAATTTGAAGCCTAACTGGTAAATATGGAGAGTAAATTTCCCTAGCTTATTGCAGATTTTTACCTATACACTATGATACTTTGCTTTTAAAAACATTCTATAAAATGAAGAACAGTATTTCAGGTGCCTACTGATTAAAGTCAAACCCGATCTCTCAAAAATAGGGACCACAATAGTTTCTAAAGTCTTGTCTTATAAAACAAAATGGATCAAGTTTATATCTTGTACTAAACATTTTAGAATTGGCGGGGGAGAAGGAGAGAAGGAGAGAGGGAGAGGGAGAGAGAGAGAGAGAGAGAGAGAGAGAGAGGGAGACACCTCTGGGTCAACCTGCCTGCCCACATGCAGAATCATATACACTTGCTGATCCAAAAACAGATAGATATGGGCTGTTGAGTAAACTAATTTTCACCTGTATCAGACGGCAGAATATAATAAATATGTTACAAAACTAAGAATCAAAACAAAGGAGTAATTTATTTATATCTTTTCTTTTACATTAACATCTTAAAATATTATTTCTGCCATATGATTTCAGTTCTGAAATCTACTGAGACTTGCTTTACAGCCCAGAATATGCTGTAACCTAGAAAAATTTTCACATGTGCTTGAAAAGATGTATTTTGCAGTCAGTGGATGAAGTTTTCCACATGTCACTTAGGTCAAGCAGATGGTAATGTTGTTGAAGTCATGTATCACCTTGCTGATTTTCTGTCTAGATGGCTGTTCAATATGGTAATGAGAATGGGATGTGGAAATCTCCAATTACTACCATAAAACTATTTTTTCCTCTTATAGTTTTTGCTTCATGCATTTGGTAATGCTGCAGTTAGATGTATAAACATTTACAACAGCACTTGTAATTGTTACATCTTCCTTATACACTGACCTTTTTTACCATTATGAAATGTTTCTGCTATCTTCAAGAATGCTGTTTATCATCTATTGTGCATTGTATTACTATGCCTATTTCTACTTTCTCATTACTACTGTTTTCTTTACATAATTTTTCTCTTTTTTCTTTCAACTTACCTGTATTTTTTAGTCTAATACATGCCTGTTAGCGGCAGAATGAGCTGAGTGCTAATTTTCTGTCGTTTGTCAATCTGTGCATTTTAAGTAGAAATGTTCAGTCTATCACATTTAATGCAGTTAGTAATATGGATGGATTTAGATTTGCTGTTTTGCTAACTGTTCTATATCTGTTACATTTTTCATTCCTCCTTTATTACTTTTGTCATGTTTTTTAGCATACAATTTTAAGTCCTGCTATTTTTCCAACTTTTACAGTTATTTTCTTAGCAATTTCAAAACCTCACTAGGGATTATAATATACATCTTGGTTTATCCTAATTGGTTAAAGTAAATATTTAAATAAAATAAAATTAAAAATCCTCATTTTTCCTTTATGCCATTTTTGTTATATATATATTTCATCTTATGTTATAAACCGCACCAAAGAGTTAAGAAACTTTTTATATTTACTGACATATTTCTATTCCCCTTATGCTCCAATTTTTCCTCATGGATTAAGATTTTCTTATAAAACAGTCTAATGGCAAGAAATTCAATCTTTGTTTAACTGGTAATGCCTTTTTCCCCTTTGGAAGACTACTTTCATTTCAGAAGACATGTTTTGCTCAATACAGAATATTTAACAGTTTTTTCTTTCAGCAATGCCTGAGGATCTCCATGTCTGATGAAAACTTAACTGCTAGGGATAATAAGTGCCCCGTGTGTGATGACATTTCTTTCAGTTTTCAATGTTTAACCAAAGACTGATCAGACATCTTGAGTTGGTGAGATTTCCACTGCCTATTGCTGAGATCTGTATGTAGACAGGGAATGGATTCAAAGTTCGGTTCTTTCTTGAAATCTCATTCTGTCATGTCAGCCACTCTTTTTTTAATATATCCTGTGTTGCTATCATCTAGTTATAGTTCAATTACACCAAATCTTGGAGATAACTGGTTTAAATGTGAAGTGTCCTCTAAAGACTCTTGCATTGAGGGCTTCATCTTTAGGCCAACAATGTTCAAGAGGTGGAGCCCAGAGAGATGATTAAACCCTAAGGATTAATCCAGTGATGATGAGTTTATAGTTGGACCATGAATCCATTAGGAGATGGGGTCCAGCTGGTGGAAGTAAGTCACTGGGGGAATGTCTTTAAAAATGTTTTGTTTATAGACCCTTTCTGTCTCTCTCTCTCGCCTCTCCCCTCTCCCCGTCACCCCCGCACCCGTGATTCTCCCCCTCTCCTTCTACTTCTCTCCCTCTCCTTCACCATTTATACTCTCTCTGGCTGCCATAAAGTGAACAGCTTACTTCTACAATGCCCTTAATATCATGATGGTTTTGCCTTACCACAGACCTAAAAGCAATGGAGCCAAATAACCAAGGGCTGAAACCTCTGAATCTGTGAGCAAAAATAAACCTTTCTTCCATTAAATTGTATGTCAGATATTTTGTCCTTGCAACAGAAAGCTAACTAATACAAAATTGCAAGTCACTTTCTTATTACTCACATGTTGCCAATGGATTTGTAGTTCTATTTCAATGTAGATATGCTCTACTTCCTTTCTTTTTTTGTTACTATGGGGGTAAAGTGATTTCATGCATGTATGTTTTTGTATGGGCTAGAAAGGAGTTATGGATTTTTTAACATCTATAACATAAAGCTGATTAAGATATAATATAATAACAGGCAATATCATGTTAATAGGCAAACTATTCAGCCCAAACAGAACAGTATATGATATCTACAGAAAATCTAAAGCATATGAAAATGATAGTAAGAAGTCTGGAAGCTATGTATATAAAAAATATTTGAGAGACACGTCAGAGTTTACACTGGAAGAAAGAGTAACTTACTGCTGTGGTAGACTTTCAAATATTTAAAGCAGACCTAATGTTGATACAGACGGAAAAGTCAAAACTGTTATAATTCTGAGATGATACACACACACACACACACACACACACACATACACACACAGTCTTCCAAAAAACTATACACATGCAAGGAAAAGAAAAATAGTATGTTTTTCAACAGATGGTATTACCCTTATATGGATGTTGTGTATCACAGAAAACCCACTACACTGCTGGCCCTTTGAGAAGAAACCAAAAATGCATGTGCAGCAATCTCATGACCAAGGTGAGCCAAGCAGCAGTTTGCTTTACTAAGAAATGTTTGGAAGCTCATAGCCGCCACTTTTAGCACCTCATATAATTGCAGAGGACAAAGATAACTTGTATTAATTATATAACGTCTCAGTAAATTTAGTATTAAAGTTCTTATACAAGTTTCTCTTTTCCTGAAGTGTGTATACATGTTTTTGGCTAATTCTGTGTGTGGACATATATAATGTGTGTGTGTATGTGTGTGTGTGTGTGTGTGTTTGTGTGTGTGTGTATTTCTAAAAGATATGTGTTCCACTGCATTAGGTCACAGAGGAAACAATATGCTGAATATTTCTGAAAAGCTATAAACAGAAAAAACTACTTTACCATTATTCAAAGTTATAATCTATAGCTCTGGTTGCTATAACTTAAAAATAAGCAAGATGAAGGGGGAATAAAAGATAAGTAAAACAAATACAAGATAGAGACTACATAAAATCTGACTTCTTTGCAGAATGCTATAGCTGACTGGTGTATAACAAATATTCATAAAGAACAAAGAAAATACAAATAAAGAAATCTCTGACTTGTTGGCCAAAATGTGGAGTTCAACCCTTAAATGCTAAAAGAGGTAAGGGTTAGAACAAACAAAAGCAGTACCGTTACATCCAGGAAACAGTAAAACAACTTGCTAGAACCACAGCAGACTACGGGCTGGAAACAGAAATAACTTACCTCTTTGAGTTGATCAGCACTGCCCCATGATGCAGAACGCTGATGGGACCTCTTCTCTGTTCCCTCTTCTGCCCAACAGCTAGGTGTCTTTAAAATAAATAGAAAATGTAATTTGACTCCTCCTAATCCCAAGTAACTAAAAAACATAATTCAAATTCTTAGTACATTCAAGTTATGGAGTTCTACTAAAATCCTTTAAATGCTAAGATTTTCATGACCCCATAAAATGCTTAAAACTCTACCATATTTTGAATTAGACATGATCAATCCATCTTGCTTAAAAACATTGAAAGAAATTTGTAAAGGTTTATTATTGTTTTTTTAACAGAGATTAGCCAAACTAAATATGAAGTAGTGTAGCTATTAAATAGAATGGAAATGAACAGAACTACCTCAGAAGCAGTGCTGTTATAGTTGACTTACATATCAAATACCTAACTAGAGAGAGGGCTAATTGTATTACTCTTCTAGTATTTTGGAAAGAGTATTTTGAAGTGTCTGTTTGGAAACATCTGAGACAACTTTATATAAAAAGTTATTATACGCTATTATTATACAGTGGCACACACCTGTAATCCCAGCTATTCTAAGGAGACTGAAACAGGAAAATTGTAAGTCTAAGGCCAGACTGGGTAACTTAGGAAGACCATGTTTCAAAATAAAAAGGGCTGGGGATGTAGTTAAGTAGCAGTGTGCTTTGGCTTTAATCCTCAGTACTGCATGGTAGAAAAAAATATAGAGTTATTACAAAATTCAATGAGAAAAAGGCTAAAAACAATGTAACAATAGAATTTTAAGTAAAACATTGCTTTTACTTATTTACCATGATTATATACAATATCTAAATGTAACACTAAAGCACAAATAAAATAGTAAGACAACTGTATTTAAGATAAAATATTAAAATATTGCCTTAATATAAGAAAAGATTCAGTGTAATAGAGAAAGCAAAAAAAAAAAAATCACTAAAGACAGTGGGTGCCTATGATGAGTGTTATCATTATGTATGCCTAAAATGTACCAACAAATGTTTTGCTATTAAAAAATAGACAGATAGAGGAAAATAATTATCATAGTAGGTATACAGTACTTTTAGCATTTTTTATTGCATAGCAAGTCACTTGAGAATATACATTATATATAAGGCTCTTAGTAAGAAGGTATCAGTTCCACTTTATACAGCTCAAAATTATTGAAGCTGTTTAAATAACTACTATCTCTTAAAAGCAATATACTCCAAAATTGAATGCTAGTTGAATTAATATAGAAATAAACTGCCTGAAGAATTTACTACTAAAGAAAGGTGTTTAGTGCAAGGATAAGCAAGCATATAAAATAAGCTGCTTGCAAAAAAAGAATCTAAAATTTGCTGTCAATCCTAGTTAATGCAGACTACCTGAAAATAATTTAGCCCCCAATCATATCCTTAACAATTTATTGTAAATAGAACAATTATAATAGTTTCAGTCATTTTTTTTTTGTTTTTTTGGTACCGGGGATCCAGACGGTGGAACCATTGAACTAGATCCCTGGCCCAGTTTTAGTCATAATTTCATTTTGAAAATTTATATACCTTAATAATTTTATCTATCAAGCAGCATTGTATTTGCCAAGAAGTAACTGATTAAGGATCACAAAATATACAACTCCAAAGTACATTTCAGAAAATGAGACAAATTTTTGCTCTGCACCATATTTATTCAACATTTATAACATTATTTTCATTTTGTACAGCCTTAACTTTTTCAAAGAATTAATATCTCCCACTTATAGATAAGTCAATATTCACAAAATTTTCACAACTGCTTCAATTATTGCCAAGCTTGCCAATGGCAAACAGAACCGAATCTGAGGTTTCTTATCGCAGAGTACCTTCTTTCTTCTTATTAGCATTCTTTTAGTTTTTAATAACAGCTTTATTGAACTACAATTTGCACACCGCACAATTTACAAATTTAAAGTATAAGACTCAGTGGATTTTAGCACACTGACTAAGTTGTACAACCATGATGACAATCAAATTCAGATTGTTTTTGTTATCCCAAAACAAAACACTCTACTCACTTGGTATCATCTCCCAATCCCTCCCCACTAAATCTAAACAACCAGTGAGCTATACTCTATCTTCAGAGATTTTCCTATTCCAGGAATTTTAAAATTCAAAATAGGCCATGCTCACAGCAACAATGAAGACCTTAACATACCCAATGTAAGGGAAATCCTGCAAAGTCAACTTTCACACCATACTGGAGTGAAACTAGAAACTGACAGCAGAAATATACCTAGAATACAGTAACATTTTTTTCTTTTCTTTTTTCCTATTAACTTTTTCATATAAGGGAAACCATGTGTACAAACTTGTATATCTGATTTACTTCACTTAAATTATGGTCTCGGGTGCATCCATTTTCTTACAACTGCCTCAAGTTTATCTTTCTTTATGGCAGAGCAGTTCTCCATTGTGCATAAATACCACATTTCCTTAATTCATTCATCTGTTGATTGACATACAGACTGCTTCCAAGATTTATCTATTATAAATTGTGCTGCTATGAGCATAGGTATGCAGACATCACTGTGGTACAACTTTTAACTCTTTGGGGGAGATATCTAAAAGGCGAATAGCTGGATCAAATAGAACTTTTATTTTTAACTTTTTGAGGAATCTCCATAGTGATTTCCACAGTGGTTGCACCGATTTACACTCCCACCAACAGTGGAGAAGGGTTCCCTTTTCCCCACAGCCTCTCCACAACTTGCTACTGGCTGGTTGATTGATTGTAGCCATTCTTTCTGAGTAGAGAGGGAATCTTATTTCTTTTGTTGTTGTTGTTACTGGGGATGGAACTCGTGACCTTCACTTGAGAAGCAGGCAGCAGTACACTCCAGCTAATTCCTGGCCCTGGAATCTTAATGATTAAAAACTTTGCATCTCAAAAGGCTGGCGATTTGAACCCTTTTTCATGTACTTATTGGTCAACTGTACTTCATCTCAGAAGTGTCTATTCCATTTGCCCATTTTTTGATTGGATATTTAAATTTGGAGGGTCTAATTCTTTTAAGGTTTTTACATATTCTAGATGTTGTTTGTCTGAAGAAAGGCTGGAAAAATTTTTTTCCCATTCTGTAAGTTGTATCTTTGTTGTTGAATGTGATTCTATCTATTGATTCTTGGTATTATTTCTTGAACAGCAGGGTTTTATTCAGAAAGTCTTGGCCTACACCCAGGTCTTCCAGTTTTACCTATTTTGTCTTCTAGCAGATTAACTGTTTCTGTTCTAATGTTGAGATCTATTGACTCTTTATCCACATGCCTAAGGCTGAATTTAGACCCATCTCTCTCACCATACACTAAACTAGCATTCTTTTCTTAAAAATGAATGTGAAAATAGGTCTTCCAGTTACCTATTTTGTCTTCTAGCAGATTAACTGTTTCTGTTCTAATGTTGAGATCTATTGACTCTTTATCCACATGCCTAAGGCTGAATTTAGACCCATCTCTCTCACCATACACTAAACTAGCATTCTTTTCTTAAAAATGAATGTGAAAATCAATTTGATTATTTCAAAATGTGATATTAGTTACACAAAAGAAAAGAACTAGTGAAGAATGTTTATGGTCATGAGACAATTTAGTAAGACATGGTTTCTTTTAAACAAAAAACCACTGGGTGTGTTGGTACACACCTATAATCTCAGTACTTGGGAGGCTGACAGGAAGCCACCATGATTTCAAGGCCAAAACTTGGGCTATATTTGTAGTGAGTTCAAGGCCAGACTGAACCAGTGAGACTCATTCTTAAAACCCTCTCCAAAGTGAAAAAAAACTACTGGAAGAGTTCTATCAATCATGTGACTATAGAGTTATAAACATATAAACTACATAAGTATATTCATCATATTCTCAACATTCCAAAACTACCTCGCCAGTTGAATAATTTAATTTTAATCATACCTAATTGCCTACTTATTTTTTTTAGGTTTCTTGAGATGAAGCCTCGCTTTGTAGTTCAGGCTGGACTTGAATTCATTATGTAGCCCAGGGTGGCTACACCAATCCTCCTGTCTCAGCCTCCTGAGTGCTGGGATTACAGGTGGATGTCATCATGCCTGGTATTTTTAATTTAAAATAAATAGTACAAAAATGTTCTAGTCTGCAAATATATTCTACAGATTGAAGTGTTCAATGTAGTGGCTCCTAGCTTGATGTAGCTATTTACATTAAAATTAAGGAATATTACATACAACTAATTCAGTTCATAAATCATACTAGCATATTTTGAATGCCCAATAAATGCATGTAGTATTGGCTATGGGCTGCCATACAGAACAGAACAGATTTGGAACATTTCTATCAGTAAGTTCTAGACATTTCATCACAGATTTTCAATAGGCTATTTTAGTCAAAGAAAAAGCAACACTGGCTACATTGTTTTCAAATCTATTTAGACTGATGTCTGAGAAATCATAGAAGGTAAACTAATTTGAATCCGATTTGTTAAACCTGAGTATTTAAAACATGTTTAAAAGTTTGAATTAGGAAAGGAACCATGCAAACTATCAAAAGTTCTTTCCTCTCCTATCAGCAAACAGCCCCTCAAACTAGCTAGTTATTCTGTGTACTATCTAGACCAAAATTTTAAAAAGTGTTACTTATAACCTTGTTCCTGGATGTCACTACGAATGCATGATAAAAGGGTTCCATGGCCAAATTAATTTGAGAGAAACTGTACCCAATGTATAATACGCATTCCAAGTTCTCAAACTTTCTTGCTCTCTTCTCTCACACACACTCACACACAAATATTTTTAAAAGCCTGCTTAACTCATTACTTGTAAGATGCCCAAACACTTGTAAGTATACTTATTAACATGTGCAAAGCACAACTCCATAGATACCCTAGAAAGATATACAGTCCTCAGTGATTTTATTACAGTATATAGTAGCTTCATCTTCAGCACTATACTTTGAGAGATTCTTCCTTTCTAGCTTGTCTCCATTCACCAAGGAAGAAAATATGAACCTTTTATAATATTTGAGTAAGCAGAGCCAAAGACTATCTATAAGATGATTGATAAAAATGTGT